GAATCGAACATTTTATTCGGTAATAAGAAAACAGATTTGAAGTAACGAACGACTGTGGTGTTTGAAATAATTTATTCGTGTATTGAGAATAAAAATTATTTCCTCTTTTATCGAATAATAAAAAGACAGATTTGAATCACAAATGGCTGTAACATTTTAAATAATTTACTCATATGTTCTGAATAAAAATTATTTCATCTTTTATTCAATAACAAACAAAAACAGATGTGAATCACAAATATCAGTAGCATTTTAAATAATTTACTCACGCGTTTCAGATACAAACTATTCCCTCTTTTATCTATAATTACAAATAATTACAATTAAGCGATTACTCGAGCGATTATTCAAACAGAAATCCCCGGACTCGAATAAATTTTAATTGCGGATCGAATATCACAGATAAATTATCGACTAATTCCCTTTGACGTTGAAAGAACGTGAAATTTATCCGGTTTTTGTACCACCCAGGAGGTTGCTTTTACGCTGTAACCAAAAGTGTGCTTAACGTCGCGATCATTATTCGAATTCAAGTACATTTACAAAGGGGCGAGAGGGCTCGCGCGCGCGCGCGCGCATCACCACACCACCTATTGTCGAGGAAGCACCTGTCCCTCTCGGTTCGTTGAATTTGACTCGAAGATGTACGCGTGTATGTAACACGCGCGCACGCTTACCAGCGGGTTCTAGTCGCGAAGATACACACGCGTCGAGCTCGAGAGAAAAAGAGAGAGAAAAGGCATGCAAACACGGCGAGTATGCGACCACATGTAACGAAATATCCTATGCACGGCCGATTACCGAGTGAATTAACGAGGGAACAAACAAATGCAGTGCGCGTCCTGTAATTCACGGTACAATCGTGTAAGCGGCGATTTCTCGTCCAACGGTAAGTCGAGAACGAGAGAGAAAATTTATTCTCCCGGTTATCGTTTTCAAAGATTCATGAAACACGCGCGTTACTCCATGGAGGAAATAATTATTTTTGCATTTTTCTTCTAAATTTATTTTTTTTAATGGCTAGCTAGCGGAAGTATATACTATTGTGGAGATTAGCATCTCCGAGGTAGTTTATTGTGTTTAGCACACGTTTCTGCGATGTTAAAACTGTTTCTGGTTTCAAGTTACCGCGCCGGATTTGAGAAGAAAAATAAGTAGAATTATTATTCAATTCGGTTCTGATAACTTGCTACCCCGGTTTGAGAAGCACTGGCCTGATGGATAATACAGTCCCGTGTACACGTGCACCTAACCGAGTTGCGCGACTAAGCAGATGCCAATATGAACTGCTGGTTTTGTCCGTTTCGTATTTATGAACATAAGGTCATAAAATTCAGGTTCTCGTGATACATTTATTTACGATAATCAGGTCAACGGAACTGATAGCCTCTCCTATAAACCCTTTCAAAACAAAAGGGTACGTCCAATTAATCGACAAATCTTGACAGTAACGAATTTTGACTGTACCGCGAATTAAAATTTTTAAATTTCCAATGACTATGAAATTTTTCATTTAAACTCCAAATGCTAAATACGACGAGGAAAACACTTCCATGACCAACTACAGAATTGATTAAACATTTCTAACGAGTATCTCGAGGTAATTATCGTACGAGCATTTATCACCTTTATTTTGTGACAAGCTTCCTCGCATACAAGTTAAAGGATCGTAATTTTGCAGTCTTGATGATATTACTATATATTTTACGTTTCTACTATTCAATTTACTAAACAAATTTTAGTAGATGCTTGTTAAATATTAAATTAGCATCGTAACGTTTACCGATTTGAAAAGACAACGCGAACAACGTGAAATAAATATTAGCTCGTTCCAAACAGCGAAATTATCACCCTTTAATCGACATATTATATTACATAAATCTCCGGGGAGAAAATGATTGCCGTGAGAAGCGTTTTTGTTTTTGTCGTACGTACACAGCGCACCCGAAGTCTGCGCGAGTTATCGACAACGTGAATTACGGAGCTCGAGCGACTAAATTCCGAGTTTAATCTCTTTAGAGATGTCGTATAACGCGATGAGTTTGTATAACATTGAAATCCTTAAACGTAAATATTGCGACGCCAGTTGTGCTCGCGGACAGGCATGACGCAATTTTCACGTTTCGAAAATAGATCTTTTATTGAAATATACATTTCGAATATAACCGTGCGAGAATAGTTGGTCGCCTTTTCGAAATAGAAAAATAATAGCAAATATATTTACGTCCTTGTTAAAAATAGCCAATACGAATTCTACGATTATGTTCACCGAAATATTCGAAACGAAAGTGTGGTTTAGTTTTACTAGCTGCTTTAAAAGTATCACTTTATCTTGTTCCAACGTTATGCAAGATTTAGAGGGAAATATTTTATATCGCGAGTCATACGTTATATACAAAAGTTAGTAGTTATTGATTTTCAAATTTCTTGTTGAATTAAAATGAACACTGATTTATTCCGTGATTATATGAAATGTAAGGGAAAAGATTCCTTCTGAAAGGCCTCCATCGCGAAGTTTAAAATGCGGACCGCCAAAAGTTGATGGTTACGCCACTGGCATTTTTCTACACACGTGTGTACGTGTATTCGATGCATGGAATCGGTACGAATCGTTCGACACGAAGCGTCCAGACTCGCGGAAATTACAGCCAAGGTAAAATACAATGTTTTGTTATTTTTGTTACGACTCTCGTGAAAACATGAACTCGCGTACGTATGCGTACGCAGGGACGGGACATTATTTTAATCGCGATCCAAGCATTATTTTATCCTATTCGCAGAATAAACAAATATAACAAACAAATACGATGTTGTTGTGCAAAGGTTGGCTTTGTTCGGCGAACGATTAAATTCCAAATACGCTGTTGATTCAAATTTAATTAAACTACTGAACGTACAATGTGGCCGTCGGAATTATTATTATTAAACGTGGATGTTGCATCAAACGTGAATTATTCAAACCGAACGTAATTTGGCTTCGTTCGACGTTAAAGAACTCGTTAATCGTTAATATCGAGTCAATGTTTAATCGGACGAGAAAAACTGCAGAATTCCACGGTTACGAAAATGATCAAAGTTTAGAAGTATTCGATGTTTCCACGAACATTATTTTCGTCGTGTTTCACGTACACTGCGAATAGCTATGCTTCGTATAAATATATAATTTTATTACGTCATAGACGCTCGGGAGTGCAGGTCACAGAGGGATGGGAATTTTCGTTGGCGCACTGATTATTATTACATCCACCGGTAAGCATATTTTACAGTTTCTATTTCCCGTCTCAAAATCCACCGAGGAAGAAAAAACGTAAAACGAAATTTCAAAGGGCGTTAAATAGCTCGTTGGAAACGCACACTTTATTCGGAGAAAAATCCAGAGGGAATATTTCAAGTCGCCATTTGCAAGGGTGAGGGGGGAGGATGGGCAGACTGGGGGGGGGGAGGGGGGCAACCGCGACGAAAAAGCTGCACGAGTTTGTTGTTTCCTCGTTACGAGGAAAAGACAATAGAGAGCGCATCGTTCGTGTATTATGTACTCCGTCGAGTTAAGATAACAAAAATGACGCTCACCGAGGCGGTTCTGATACAATAATTACCAGCCGTGACTCGCGACCCCGCGTTATCGATTTAATTCTCAAATGTACATTTTCAATTCGTCCACGGAAACACAGAGAAAGCGGAAAGAGGGAGGAATTGCAAAAAAAAAAAAAAAAAAAGAAAAACGGTTTCGCCAACGAATCGGTGAACCGAAACGCGTACGAGTGGTAAATACATAACGCGAGTTTAATCATCGGCGTGCAACGTAAGCAAACTGAAGTCAAAGTGGGTATATAAAAAAAAAAAACAAAAAAAAAAAACAAAAAAAAAAGAAGAGAGTACAAACCGACAATAATAAAAGCTGTCCGTAGCTCCTCGACCCAATCGTCCAATTCCACGGAACGTTACAAAATATATTTTTCCCACGGCGACGACTCGACGCGCACGCTTTTAAAATTTCCTTTAAACGGACGACGGTCTATTTATTCACCGGTGTACCATACTATTTCATCCTAATAATAACGGGAAGCACTTATCGATTCGTGTCTTGCGGACGCGTGCACGGAACAGTGCTGTTGTGTTATTCCCTTCTATCTTCCTTCCTTTCGTGATTCTATTTGGAATATGATGGTAACGCTTTTGTACGGCCCGTGGATTAAATTTCGACGAAATAGGAAAGTTACTAGTGGCGAACAAATTTCTGGAGGGGGGGGGGGGGGTGATATAATTTATCATTAAATAGTCGTTAGGACAATGCGAGTCGAGGTGGCTGTGTTAAATCGGGTTAAGGCACATCTATAAATACCTCACTAACTGAGAATGAGAGAATACGAAAGGAAGGGAGAGAGGGGGAGAGAGAGAGAGAGAGAGAGAGAGGCACAAAGTGTGCTAGCAAAAGCACGAGAAGCAGAGAAAGGACAAATACGCGAAGACGAAGTGGGAACGGGAGGGAGGGAGCGAGATATGTAAACTGAGAGAGAGTAAGCGAACACACGAACAAGTCGGAGAGAGATACAGAACCCACAGTGGAGGGGAGAGACAAGAAACGTGCGAGAGAAAGACGGATAAAAGCAGAGTCGCAAAGTTGACAGAGAAAATGAAAATGAAACAGAGAAAGACGACGCGATGATAACGGTTGAGGGGAGGATTGGGATGGCAATAGTAATCAGTCCGACTAATAGTGCGGGCACATCGAAGATACACACAATTGCATTCGTTGCCAGATGTCTAACTACACGATCACCCTCCCCCCTCTTCTACCCAACGAGTACCCCTTCCCCCACTCGTCACCACGCTGTCACTTCTGCATTACGGACGAGCAGCGAGGAGAACACGAGTAAATTCGAGGATATACCGACGAGAGAATGAAAAAGACGCGCCGTAACTCCGTAGCCTGTTCACCGGCACTCCGGACAACTTTGTCATTTTATTATTTTAACGATAACTTAACAAATATCACTCACCTCTATCTTATCCATTTCTTTGCTGCACGGCTGACACTCACTATTCCCACAGTCATCTAGGATCCTTTGGCACACACACACTGACGGCACATAGCGCGGATATGACACGAGCTACACACGAGCGCGGTGTGCGTGTATCGAAACGATATAGGTTTGACGCGCGCGGACCAGCGACTCACGGTGCGGCGCACGCCGCTGTCCCATCAAGACTACTTTGTATTTACTCTAATTATGTGACGTCACGGATACACTGCTCTCCCCACCACTAGCCGCCGGAGGTACCCGACCGCTCGCGAGCGCGACCGAGCGGCGCCGAGCCGGAGCGAGCAACGCGCATGGCGCGACTACCCAGTCACCTGTCGTCTCTCCTCGTTCTCGTAGAACCACGTAGAACGCTCGGTGCAGTAACATCGTGACGAGCTTGTGATTTTCATCCTTGTGTGGATATTTTACCGATCTTTAGTACTCGCGATCGCGTAGAAACTCTCAAACGATCGCGATAAACACCCTCCGCAACGACTCGGACTCCATTGGATTCGTACAACGACGAAGCCCGTTGCCATCGACCGTACGACCGATTTTTGTGGTATAACCTTAACATTTGTGCTACTTGTGGTTTGTCAATCGTCGCGTTTTCAGGACTGTAAGATCGAAAGTAGTAAGATTGAAAGTGATCGTCCACCTGCATCGGGGAATAACATTCAATATTTATCCGATCTCAGGACTGTAAATTGACTCGATACGAACGGTAAACGTTTGACGTTCGTAGGATGCAAATTCGCGATAAAACAGCCCGTTTGTGAGTGCAGACTATTCGGAATGACGTGTCGCCAAGTATAAAAGGCTATCGTTCCAAGAATACAATATATTTTGTGGTTACTTTATCGTGCTTGCTATACGTCACGCGTCTACAAAGTTTGCAAAACTGTTTCACGAGTTATTTTAATCTTCGCGATCGATGGCCGGTACGTTTACGTTTGTTAATTTAAAAATAAAGTAAAGAAAAAGTAAAGAATATAAATAATTAGTCTTTTCTATAACAAGATAACAAAAAATGCCGGGTGATAGAATTTACGTAACGAACGACTAGGCTTCCAATTGAAAAGCTAACTATTTATCTAAACGATTTATCCAGTTGTTTCGTTTCAATTAAAGAAATCAATTAAAGAAATCATTTATCTCGCGTGCAGTGAACTACGTCGATAAGAGAGAGTGTACAATAAATGACACCATCGTTGAAAAATCGTATTTGTTTGTTCCATTTATTACCCAAAGCTCATTTCCAGTTTCCAGTTTTCATAAAACTAACATTACCCAATGTCTATTCACTTTTTTTGCGAACGTATAAATTACACAAATCGACGTCTACCGACAGAGTAGACAAATTACATATTCCCAGACACAATGCTTCGCATGATAACATTCTTTCTTATCGTTTCGTACAATTTTAACAGACTTACGATGCTTCCGCATTCGCGACATAATTCCCCTCTTTCATTTATTAACCATTTCTTTTTTCTTTTTTTTGTCTTTTATAACTTTCATACGTCATAGGACTGAGGTTTACGTGTTGTTCCAGACAAAGATTGTGTTGCAGCGAAAGGCAACGTGCACGAGGAAATAGGAAGGATATATTTATATATGTATATCATATATATTTACAATAAGCGTTAGAAGAAGTGTGTTGTTTTAGGTGTTGACAGACGGATTTTAGGCCTATTTCGCGAGACACTGATTCGCACAGCGCTAGGGTTTAGCAAACTAGATGCAGATTGGTATAAATTTAATTGTAGTAATTGTTTCGTTGTTGGTTTTTCTTTTCATTACGTTTTCTTTTTTTTTTTTTTTCGTTCGGACACTTTTCCTGACTTTCCATTACAGTAGTTTAATAAGAAGGAGAAAATGTTGAAGGAAGCGTACCCGATTGAAAGACGCCAATGGCCGTCAATGAACGTTTTTATATTCGAATCGAGGAAGATGCTTACGCACGAGAAATAAAGTGCTTTAGGGCGTTGAAAATAGAGAACTCATTTGCGGCGCGTTGTGCGAAGAAACTGGATTCGTAGGATCGATGCAAAAGTAACAAAAAAAAGAAGTTGACGAAACGAGAGACAAATAGAAAAATTGTCGATACATATTTTATTATCTTTATGGGTAGTTCGGTAAGGAAATATTCAATTAACCATGTTTCCCTTTCAAAGTATATCAATTTCCGTGTTCTATCGTCGCTTTTTATTATTTCTGCATCGAATTAACTTGAAAGAGTGTCAAAGACTAGAAATCGAGAGCAAAGCAAAGCTCGTATAATTCCAAATCGATCTACTTAAACCTGTGCAACGGAGATAGATGTGTCATGGCCGTTACGAGAGGCCCATTGTGCGAATTATGCACATATCACGATCAATTAGAAATATATCGATGCTAGAACGATCGGTATCTGTCGACGAAACTATATTAACCGAGGATCAAACAAATTATATCAATGTCACCCTTATTTCTCCGCAACCTTTGATCAGCAAACGATGAAATACGTGAATAGTCGTGGAATTCTTTGGAAATATGAAAACGATTGACACGGCGTCCTGCTATGGGATCTTCGAACTTTGTAAAACCGATTACATTAGTTTTGCACTTTTCAACACTTGACAATCGAATAGACAGAATGTTACCGATCTTCTAGCACTATTAACGACTCAACACGACAAGTAACAGTTTTATTGCGACGAGAATTATAATTGACGCTACGCGACGCGATCGAGAAGAAGCGACAAGTGCACCGCTGGTCAAACTGTAAAATTGGAGGGAAACGTTCCGAACTTTGCAGCGCCACTAAACCACTTCCGCTATCTAGTTTCGAACGCGGGAACTACGACGAATTTTTCTCGAAAGATTTCCACTGTCTCAAGCTTTAAATATGTGTCATAGGGCATAGAAGGTAACGTATGTATTTTGTTTTGTGGAATTCAGTGCTGATTTTGTTTCGAATCGTTTGATCATAGATATATCGTTATAGGAAAGTCATAGGCCGGAAGTGGAGATGTGCCACTGTTGGAAAGAGAAGAGAAATCTCGTTGATTTATCTATCTTTGTCTACTAGAGCATACTCTGTAAGTCAAACTATCGTTGGCTATTATAAATTAAATATTACGTATTTATAAAATTATATTTTATATCATAATATCGCGGTTATGTCACGCATTTATGCAATTTAAATATATAACACTAGTAACGATAAAATGTTACAAGGAAATAATGATTGAAAGCTGAGAGGATTGAATTGAATAAAGGGTTAAGTTGGCAAGGCATGCATTTTAGACAAAGACAGATAAGGTATAGCTCTCTTTCTCTTTTCAGCTGTGGTACGTTTTAGCTTCTGACTCCCCTATTTCATCGATAATATATCTATGCGTTTGATCAAGAAATTTGTGTCTCTCGTAACAGCCACTTCTCCTTGGATTGTACTCGCGAATTCCATTCGAGCTTGTACACGGCGTAAGAAAGTGTACGAAATAACGACGGAACCTGGCTCGGGTAAGTTTACAATTATCGTTACGACTATAGATGGCGGAACATAATTTGACAGGTTCGAGCGATTTATGAAAATTAAATTCACTTTTCGTTCTATTGGTACGCGATACGTGACGCAATTTGCGTGCACGTTTAAACTATCGATTGTTTTCTTTGGTCGGACTTGTCGCAGGTTAACGATGTACAATGGATTTAAAAGTACGAATTATGTAATAAAATTCATTGCACCGTGCCGTTTTGTACCATGAGACGGTCAAGGTAACCCTACTCGACGTTTTGTGTTTTACAAGGCACGATGCTTCACATTCAGGGGACAGTAAATTTGTCGTACGTTACTTTATGCAGAGATGAGTAAAATTCTTTTCTAAAAAGTTTGGAATATTGAATGAAATGTAACCAACTATCAATTGGTTATATGTTTTAAAAGGAAGTACAATTTGAATCATAGTATGAACTTATATTTCACATTGAACGAATAAAAACTAACCTAAATTTGCAGTGCGATGAAGACGTTAGATAAATAAATAAAGTAAATAATTTTAATTTACTATTTAAACGCAATCTTGCTCATCTCTGATTTTCGGACAGTTTGGATTCGACGTTCCTCTTTTCTCGAATATTTTGGAATCACGAGCAAATAAGTGAATTTCGAGGTTAGTTTGTACGAACTAATTGAAAGTTGATGTACGTTAATGTTCGCGGTGCACGTTGACAAGAATGTTGCTAATAAAAGAAAATGATCGTTTCCGAAGACGGTTAATAAACGGATGTAAAATCTGTCGACAAATCTGTGTAAAATTAAAATTGACATAATTAATTGACGACTTATTCACGTCGATCGAAAACTTTGTGCTGAAAACCGGAAGGATCTCGATTAGAACGTTTTAAATGAATAGACTGTAACGTACTAACGTTAGTAAAATTTGTCCCTCGAAGATTTTCCGTGAGAAACAATTGACGGTGCTATTACGCGGTTATTCTTGCCACTATGCCTGCAATCGAAATTGAACAGTTTGAAGCGGATTTATTCGCTCCTGTAACGCGTTAGTGGCAAAACATCAATGGAATTCGGGGAGTTTCGGGTGTGTCCCATTAACGACAACCGATTTTCGCCTAGACCTAACAGGATTGGATCACGATCTGGACGAGCATTTCTCGAACGGGATCGGATTTCACGCGTCGAGTGTCGTGACGGACACCGGTGCCCGACGCTATACCTAAACTAATCTAGACTTTCCGTTCGTGCTTCAGGTGATATATATTCGTTTTATAAAGTCTCTATTGAAAGATAGATATAATAAGATATACAATTCCAATAAGAAAGAAAACTTTTCACGCGTTTTCCAACTTGTATTTCTTTGTTGTAATATTTTGTTATTCATTTTTCAGGTAACATTTTTACTCAATTTTTACTTAGTTTTCATTTTTGTGGACCAACGTCACGTATCAAACAACCGTTTACCAAAGAGGATCCGAACGCGAGGTTTGAAACGTACACAAAGGATTTAGGGAAAGCTTTGTATCTGCCCAGACTATGGGGTGACTTATAATGAAATGTCGAGACCTCTACCGCGTTCAGCATGAACGGAAAAGCATGAAAAACTATGTCGACACTCGACGCGTTAAAATGTCCAGAATATTACAAATTTCTTTGCCGTCCATTTTTATAAAACAAAGCGTTTTCAGCTCGGTTCTGGCCAAGAAACGCTCGTCCAGGCCTACCCCTTGCATGTTTCGTATTTACGATCAGAACGTACATGGAGTGGGGAAAATATCACAGCTGGCCCCCGGAAATGTTGAAAATCCAAAATAAAGAAGGGGCGTCGAGGGCCTTCGAGGAAACTTTACCGGTCGACCCGGCTACGACCTCTCAAACCTGGTTTTCTTTTTTTCTCTTCGCATCTACGAAACGTAGAAAAAATGCTACAAATAATATCTACGTCTATAGTACCTAGAAACGGTTCTCTCGGTCATCGAGTTGGGTCGATCGGGTTTCCTTGTTTTGCGCGCGGTATATTCATATCGTACACATGTATTCTGTAACTAATAATAATATTAATCGTATGATCGTCTCTATTAATATTATTATCATTGGCTCGCACGCTGGACCGATCGTTGCGGCGGTTCGTCTAGTTTCGCGAGTAAAAACAAATTTTTCGTTGCCATCTTCGTGAATTTCGTTTCGCGACACTGTGCTTTCGGTAGGAATGTTCGATTTTTTAAAAATTTTACGCGTGTCATCGAGCCTTTTTTCCTCTGCTTACACCATCTTCTTTCATTTTCAACCGATCTATGCTCGTTGGATTCATGTAGACTTTATTTTCTTTTTGACGATGAAAGCAAGTACTTAAAGCCCACAGTCAGTGTAAGAAGTATTCGTACAGCAACCAATTGAAAATAAAATTAACAAGAAACGAAATAAGTGGTTAACATTAAAAATAATAAACTTTAATTTACGCAAATTCTACACAATTCTAGAATTTATTAACAAAATAAATATACGAAGTTTTATTTTGAATTGGTTCCTGTACGAATACTTATTACACTGACTGTATACATCTCCGTTTTTGAGCATTTCTGAAAAATTATCATTTATTATTTAATCGAACATCCCTAGCGTCGTTTGGCGAATTCTATCCATGGGAACGCAGGTTTGTTTGTACCGATAAGGAATTGTTCGACTCCGATTAAGAAAAGCTGGAGTCCGAAATTTTCTACGTTCGTCGCTCTAATGTATTTTTTTTCTATTTGAATATTTTTTTTTTTTTTATTTTTTTTTGTGCGTTGAGAAAAATCGCGGGCAAATCTTCGGACGTGCGTCGCACCTTTCGTCAACGGTCAGCGTAATCGAAAATACCGTTCGTGTTTGAAATTTTCGAGCGTCGTAGCTATGTTTCCCGTAATTCAATATGCTTGAAATATTATAAATTACGGTCGAGCGCACGGGCACAGCAATTTTACTTCTACTTATATTAAGGAAAGCGTGTCGAGGTCGCACGAGGCTTCGGAATTTTTGTTCGAAACGCTACTTTATACAGGGAAAATTACAATCACAGATCGATTCACCGAGCCAAGCTTCTGAGCGATCTCGCGACTATCGATCACGGTGTTCGCTCTTTGTTTCGTGAATAGGATTCGTCGTTCGTACACGAACGATTCGCAGTTCAAAGTCTATCTTATATTGGATTTTTGGTCGCTGAGAAGCTAATGTCGAGCAACCGATGACGTGCTCGTATCTTTCAAATACAACATTCTTTGTGCAACAAGAAACGGAATACGTCGGAACTTTGACTCGTTAATTACGTTCAATTTAATAAACAACGGTACTCGTTGACTCGCGTTTATAATTTAGTAAAAACGCGTACCATTCGTCGAGGATACAAGTGTATAGTATCGATCACAACGGTTAACCCGAAAGCGAGCGTTTTGTTCAAAAGATGAGCAAAATTTCTATCTGGAACTCGTCTTTTGTTAGTGGTCGAACAAGACTTTAGAATTTCAATTATAGAATATAACTGTTCGATCGAATAATATAGGTTCCATTGTTATTCGAATAAAATTTTGCTCATCTCTGCTTTCATTTTTACGTTATCACGCGACGCACGGTCTTTGAACAATTGATCGATTCCGGGTTAACTCTTCAACTATGCAACGAAGATATACGATCGTGATAAATATAGTAACCCCCGCTTATATTTCGTCAATGTTTACCCGTTTGGAAGCGACTACATTCATTAGTGAGTAGGTCTGGGATAGTTTTCACTAAAGTCCTTAGTAAAATGTAGACATTTTTTTAACGATGACCAGTGAAAGTACACTTTCGCTAGCGAAGAGATAACATTGTAGTTCATTCGCTATTAACCCTTTACACTCCTAAGGCCACCTTACTGCCCAGGCACTTTAAGGCGTTCTACAACTTCGATACAGACAACTTCATACAGTCAGTCCATAAATACTCGTACTCTCTGGGTTTATCAAAGATAAACTTTCTCTGTGACGTGAATCGCATAAGGTTTGTTAAATGTGAAACAGTCTGTAACCAACACAAAATCGTTTAAGATTTTTGTACTACGCCTTGTGTTTGTGTATGATTATGTTTGGTTAATAAAAATGTAAAATTCTAGGAAGAAGATCGGATAGTTTAACAAACTGCAAAGAGTTTTTCGTGGCCATTCCATAACTGAGAAATCTAACACTGACAATGAGTGCAAATGGTTAATAGTCTACGTTCACTGGCCACTCGCTTTCGTCGGAATAAACACGTACTTAGAAGCAGGGGTTACCGTAAAACGCTAAACATTTGAAACGATGAACCCACCGAATACAACAGGAAGATACCTGACACGGTATGGATAGACTTTGAAACCATCTAACCTTGGCAACCCAAAAGGATACGTCTAATTGATTCCTGAGACCTTCGCAACATTCTCCAAACAGTCTGATATGAGGAACCGTACGCAGAATCGTGCCATCTTCGTACGCGAATCGAAGCCTCGCACGAACGCGGTGCCGTAATGTCGTTAAGTTTCTTAAAATAATTTCTTTTCTC